CCGATTCTTCTCGACCATCTTTTTTCTTTTTGAACACTCATTTCAACAATAATTTCCTCCACAATCGAACATATGGATTTTCATTTAAAATATTTATCCATGCCTATTAAAAAACAAATTCAATACATAAATAAACAAATAAATACCATATTTCATTTTTCATCAATAACATTAAATTCATAATAAACAACAATTACTTTCAGAAACAATTCTATTTTAAATCACCAAGTTAGACAAACTGACAAAGCCATTACTTACTGAGACTGAGTTACTTTATTACTTCACTACAAGATTTCCAATTTCTCAAATCCAAACTAGTGAACTATCAACTACCAAATTCCAAATACATTTTAGAAATTAGAAGAATCAGTAATTAATATGAACGAATTATCTTCAATTCAATTGAAAATCTAATACCTAAATTAATTGAAAAATGGATTGGAGATGAGAGATGAATTCGCGTGCGTAGGTAGCGTGCGCATGGGAAGATTAGGAATTTCAGATTTTTGAATGGGGAGATATCAAAGTCACTGCCTTATGAGTCATAGTATATTAGTTGGGTTGGGTCAATCAATGAATTATGGATTAATGGGTTGGTGTAGAGTGTAATTAGACTTGGGCTTGGGAGTTGTGGATTTGGCTACTCTTGGGTAAGTGGTATCAACTACCAAATTCCAAATACATTTTAGAAATTAGAAGAATCAGTAACTAATATGCATGAATTAGCTTCAATTCAATTGAACATCCAATACCTAAATTAATTCAAAAATGGATTGAAGACAATAAACGAATTCAATGTGCATAGGTAGAGTGCGTATGGAAAAATTAGGGATTTCAGATTTTTGAATGGGGGGATATCAAAGTCACTGCCTCATGAGTCATAGTATATTAGTTGGGTTGTGTCAATCAATGAATTAGGGATTAATGGGTTGGTGTAGAGTGTAATTGGATTTGAGCTTGTGAGTTATGAATTGGACTGCCCTTGGGTAAGTGGTAAGTGTTAGGTAAAAAAAAAAACTCAAAAAAATAAATAAATTTGTGGGGTCATTTGACCCCATCTGGGTCCGCCCCTATTCATCATCAATGATTGGCACACAGCTCTACTTCCATGCTACTTAAAGACACTATACCAATCTAGAGGAATATACATGAATACTAAGGGGGAGAAAGTAACAGAGTTTCAGATGGAAGGAGCGTTTTGCTCTGATGCCATATTGAGAAATTAAAAGGTAGATTCAATATGAAAACATATTGAAGGAACTTGAGAAGAATAACATTTTATTAATCATCAAACTCAAGTAATATTGTGAATACATTGCTCTATTTA